ATTAAAATAAATATTTTTTTTCTTTTAAAATAAATTGTGATTAATAAATAATGATAAGTATAGTCATTGAAATGTGTGAATTTATTGTTTTGTTCAACTATTATTGAGTACACAATATAAACATATATATTCATTAGCACAAGATATAGTCTTTATTATAGAACAATATCGAGGTGATGAGTGTTGACATACGGTTATTTAAAGTTTAAACATTGCGATGAAAATAACAATAACATTATAGTTAATAAATATAGGTAGGTACCTATTAAATAAGAGGACATCGTACCCGCAATCCACATTGCTAACTGCGTCTTACTAATACTAACGTAGGTATTACATGAAAAATTGTATGTTAAGAAGAATTCATAATCTGTTATTTGTAATTTTTAGTATATACCTGGTTAGATGGTTAGACCTATATTATAAAGATAAAAATATTATCCAGAGCCCCAAGTAAATTTTTTGATATTATAGATTCTGAGGGGAGCGATGGATGTATTATTGTAATATTGTATTGATTTTACAATGATGTGTATTTTTTTTTATGTTTTTATTTATTTTTGTTTCTATCATCACTGTTTGGGGCAGTAAAATTGCTTCAATTTAATACCATCCATTATACAGTGACCCACTTGTAACCTACTGTACAGCAGGCACTTTCCCACCTTCTTTATGTTAAAATTGATAAATTTATCGAAGAAATGGAAAAAAACAAAAAAAAAACCTCTATTTAAGACTAGTCAAACATTTTTTACCTGCTTAGAGTTGAAAAGATGAAAAAATAAAATTAAAAGTACATATTAAATAGGTAATTAAGTTGAAGCCTATAAAACGTATATTTAAAAGCTTTCGATAAACTGGATTGTTTATCAGTGGAAGCAAGTAAATACCAAAATGGTAACTAGTTTTCCAAAATATGTAAGCATCGCTTTCAGAATATATTTATCGATTTTTGGAACATCATGCGGTCCTGCGCACTTAGTGGCCCGTGAAAAATGGGAACCCTTAAAAAAATTGTGATTGCTTAACTCCATTTGGATGTAACTATCACTGCAGTAAGTGCAACTCAGCCACTCTGGTAGGGAATGCGCGAAAATTCGATTTGATACATGCTTGTACATGATCTGCCCGGTTAACCAATGACAACCAATAATAAATAAATACTTATATCTATTAATTATTTCTCCTATAACCAATAGTGACCATTTATAAACAAACATTTCCACCATATATATCAAAATCCCTGTTTGAGCACTTCCCCAGGCTTCTATTAATTTGTCGATGCGTGATGTTATTTTATATATTATATACAGACCTGTAAAGAATACTTTGGAAAAGTACTTGAGTAAGTACTCAAATACATTTTTTTTTAAGTATTTAAGATACTACTCAAATACTTTAATTGTATAGTATTTCAAATACTACTCAAATACTTTGAAAAAGTATTTGGAATACTTTTCAAATACTTTTGGAATACTTTTCAAAAACTTTTGGTTTTTAAAGTGGGTTTCTAATTATTATTGTAATATAAACACAAAGGTAGTAAATTTATAATCATTTTTATTTATTATTTATTAAATAAATGTTTATTAAATTTTTTTTTTATTTTTACATGAAATTTACAATCTGTTCTTAACTAGAACAATAAGCAAATGTGCATAGGGTATTTGCGTATGATTTTTTTTTTTTTGAGGGAAGAAACCACCCATTGGTGATACTACCTATTTTGTGTTCTTAATTCATTCTAAAATTTCCAAAATTATTTCGAATAAAAATAAAATGTTCGAAATAAAAAACCAAAGTATTCAATACCAAAAAGTATTCAATACAAATAAAAGTATTTAAAATACCATTCAAAATACTTCATGCTGAAAGTATTTAAAAAGTTATTCAATACTTAAAAAAGTATTTGAATACTTTTACTCAAATACTTTACAGGACTGAATTTATATAGCCTTCCTCGATGTATGGACTATCCAACAAAGAAATTATTTTTCGATTAGAAAAGTAGTTCCTGAGATTAGAGCGTTCAAATAAACAAGCAAACAAACAAACTCTACAGCGTTATATATTGGTATAGATATTAGGAATTACCTACCACTGGTAGGCTACCAGATTAATATAATATAATTAGCATATAATATAAAATATAAATACCATGATAGGTTTTATTTTATAACAAAAAAAAAAATTTGACAATGTAAAGCACTAAAGCCTCTAAAATTACGTTACTACGTTAGTAGTTAGTACGTTAAGAATGGTATTCAATATATTATTAAACAATACACGACAAGATAGAGTGGAAATTCGGCTTACAGGTGCGAAGACGTGAGGGCGTGAGGTAGTTGAATATTTTCAAATAGGTATCTCTATGTTTGGTTTATTATGTAAAATGTAAACTGTTAACGTACCTATATTATGTTAAAGTTAAACACTACGCCGCGCGATGGTTTACACGGAAGTGCACAACAGGCCAACGATAGTATTATACCTAATTGCAATTTACAAGTAAAGGTGCACATTAACTATAAGATAGTAAGTTGAACATCATTTTTGTATTGCCTGTGCGTTCGAAATTATGAAAATAACATGTGAGTTATTTATACCTCATCCTAATAATTTGATGATATTTTGACGGCCAAAGTTTAAATATAAATAGTAATTTTTACTCGTTTTTGCGGTAAACTTTTGAAACTATGAAAATTGTATTTAATTGTGAATTCAATTTAAGTTTTGCATTGCACGTTATGTGACTTACCGCCAGGGACGTTTCTTATTCGGTTGCGTGACAAGTTCAGCTGCGTCAGTCGCTTGAGCGCCGTCAGTGCGGAAGGTATGTCCGATATGGAGTTGCGAGGAGCGCACAGCACTTCCAGTCCCTTCAACTCGCATAGTTCCGCAGGGAATGTCGACAGTTTGTTGTTGTCCACGTAGATGTGAGTCAATTTAGCCAAGCTGTTAATCCATCCCGGCTGTACATATATTACGTTAAAAATTAAAACTGTATACATAAATCAATCAGCTCGTCGGTTTCGACAATTTTAAGTAAATCGTCCTAATAGTTGATGCTTAAAGAACGGCAAAATTTCGCAAGTTTACATTTTTAACGTTATTATAATGATGGCCAATAGGTAGTACAAAATCAAAATGTATACTAAGTATTATATTTGTATTTGCTGTTTAAGTAAGGTATAGTTTAAACAGTCGTGAGCAAATAAATTGTGTTGTTTATTTATTATACGATACGTATAAAAATATGAGGTTAAGTGGCTGCGAATTTATTACCGACGGGAGCGATTCGAATATTATATAATATAATAGGTATTATGTGCATATTAGAAGTCGTCGACTTACTAGTACTTCGATGAAGTTGTTTTTTATGTATAGCTGATACACCACGTCCCTGTTCCGTTTCAAGTCTTCAGGAAACTCGAGGAGATTCCTGTCGTTCCAGTGCAGAATGTGACCGATGCCGAGCGTCATCGTCGTGATTTTGCGGAGCATGTCAAAAACAAATTTTTCGCATGTATTTTTTGTTAAAGGTTTAGAATAGATACTATAAAGTAAAAATAATCATTGGCAGTAGCTCAAAAATCGCGTTTATAAGGTTAGTAGATCATATCATAATATTCGTTTGGTCGGACTGTTCTTTAACAACGGAGTAATAATAACTACCATAGAACACGATTTTCGTGTCGTTAGAAAATTACTACCCCAGATATACAGGTTGTTGAGGATAATTATAAACTTTAATGTTAAGTACTCACGCGTTACTGAAATTGGTGTTGGACCAAATATTGATTTTAAAATCATGGTTTTGTGTTTTCAGTGAGTACATATTCATTATGTCTGGGGGTGACGTTTTAATTTAGGTACAACACAATAAGTAGTTTATTGAAATACTCTTCGGGTTAGGAACAATAACATAAATAGTAGGTATTATTTAATTTTCTGACAAAGTCTACGGCAGACAATCTGCATGCATATTAACAAGAATTTTTGATAAGGCATTGTGTCAACAAACAAAGTGTTCGGAAATTCCATATTTATGTTTTGATTTTTGAGTGGGAGACTAATGATTGGATTAATGTAGTTTTATATAGAATATTCATTATGATAAAATAATAATCATAATCCAAAACTAAATGTGTGTACCTACTGCTAAACAATAATAACTTATCATAACTTCCTATGTTACATAATGTTCAACTTACATAAAATTACCATAATAAACAACAATTTATTACTTTCTAAAAATTGCATGGTGATATGTGACCTAATTAGATCAAAGGTTAGCCATTTAAATAAAAACACATAATTGTTTATTCTTTAAAGATTTATTTAAAGAAAAAGACTTCAATCCAAAACATAATAATAGAAGTACATGCTACTTTATACACTTAGATTAATACTATAAATTAATATAGATAACTTAAATAAACAATATTTATTTAGATGCCTGTAACTACTGATATTTTAATTAATTATTTTTCACAGTAACTCTGTGTTTTGATATCTATTGCAATTGATAACTGGAAATTAAAATAAGTCTTGTAAAAAATGAAAAAAAAAATCATTCTTGGCGCAGATGACATTTTTTTTCTGATACAATTACTTATACATTTGTCAGTCTCAATATAACATAATGGCAGTAATAAGTTACAAATTGTATTTTGTAGTACAACAGGCACCGCGTTTATTATTAAAACAGCATTATTTGATAAAAAGAGATAAGTTTGTAACTTTAAATATATTAAAATGGATTAGTAAACTCAAAAGTCCCACTAAGTTATTTGATATAATATTCTAAATACTTGGTAATTAATGAAGACAAAAAAAAACCCAATTGTTTTTAAAAACATATGTCTGACAATACACATAGAAAAACTAAAATGATTAACAAAAAACAGAATATTAACAACAGTATTTATCACATGCTCAAGTGGTTTTGCATTATAATATAGTAGGTATAATAATTTACTAAAACTTTATATGATTCTTCAATCAATAAAAGCTATTCTTTTGTCTCGTACTTTTCCTCTAGTTTTTGTGCGCACCTTGAAGTTGGCAGCATTAATTTGTTGCTGTAAAAATGAGAAACAATATAATAAATGTTATAAAAATGTATATTTTTTTTGTTGGTTCGTGATTTTTCAACTCACCCTTTCGAGTTTTGATTGTTTGTTAGTCATAAGTGTCGTCTGACATAATTTAGGGCCAAGGCTTAATATGTCACGAATTAGATCATTTTCTGTCATATGCATGTTCATTCCAGATCCTAATGCTTGACACAACACATCATATTGCTTTTTTATGATCCATGAGTTCATTGTTAATATTTCTTGACCAAAACGTATTTGAATATTTGGAGGTTCATCCAACTGTAAAAAACAAAAAAATGTTAAATTCAAACTTTAAAATATATTATGTTATTTCTATTGTCTAACTCACCTCTACATAATGAAGAATTTGTCTGAAGTTTGATCTTTGTGTTTTCCTATCTTTTTTAGCTCTATATTTTTGTGAATCTGTTGCTAGTTCACGTAATTTATTAATAAATTCTTCATCTGGCTCATATTCATCCATGTCTTCACAATCACGTGCCATTTCTAACAAAACCGTTATTAATTCACCAGTAGCCATTCTCACTTCTAGATGTGTTGAGTCTAAGAGAGTACTCAATTCTGCTAAAGTACTACAATTGAAGGAAATATATAAATTAGTGTCAGTTTTAATTATTTTTAATTAGCAGCGATAAAGTACTAAATAACTTACGGAATAATAGCAGAAGAATTTCTTATTGATACAGTTGTCAGCAGGAGAGACCAAGAAGATAATGCTGCCGAATATAGGGCTGCTATCGACGGAGAAATAGTTGTTGAATGTAATAAACGTCTCCATAAATTGCGCATTAACTGCATAGCTGCATCAATTTCTTCATTGCAACTAATGAAAGTTAGTAATGTTATGGCCAAACAGCACTGAAACATTCAATATTTTAAATAAAAATCAACTTAATAACAGATAAAATTAGTAATACAATACAATTTAGACATCGGAAAATATAAACAATTACTTTTTCTCGGGCCAATAAAGGAACAGATTCATCATTAACAACAAACATTAGTATAGGTAATAGTTCTTGACAAGAATGTTCTGCCAAGTCCAATGCACCTAATTGTATACACAATAAACTAGCTAAATTAGCTGCTGCAGCTTTCTCATTATCTCCCCCTTTTTTAAGGGCGCGCTCAATGGAATCAGTTATTGTCATACGCCTGTAGAAATAAGTATACTTTAAAATTTATTTTTCAACAAAAAACCAAAAATTTAATTTTTAAAATAGGACATACCTATTTAAAATATAATCGGGTATATATTTTTTGCAAAATATGTTACAAACAGCTTCAAAACTTAATGTACGTCCTTGCGCAGACTTCTGTGATAAACCATCAATTGCGTCACTTAGTTTCTCTTCAAATGCATCATTCTGAGATTCATCAGTTTCATCAATAGCAACACCTATACATTATTGAAATGAAAAAATAAGTAAGGAACTATGTTAGTCATTAAACAATTATTAGAATACTTACAGGAACGTTCTTCATTCGATGTGCTACAAGATAAATTACTGATTACACTCGCATTATCATTATATGACTCATCGTCCGACATGTCTAAATCACGTCCTTTTCCAGCTAGTGTATCTAAAAAATATAATTTATTTAAATTAATTAAGGTTTTTTATTAAAAATGTAGCTATGTATTGTTTGTTTAATTACTTTTAGTAATCAAATAAATAAATAGGTTTTTAATTTAATTTGTAAACATATTTTCTTATACGTAGAATTATGCTAGTTCAATCAAGCCACATTTAACTAATTAGATATAGTTGAGGATTAAGTTTATAACTTATTTGTTCCTAACAGTCAAAAGGTTAAAAAAAATATGAATTGTGACAAATAGGTATGGAAATACAAATTCTTAGCAATTATAAAAATGAACAAGTACCCATATTAAATTGATTTTAATATATTTGTGATTTAATATCCACTACCTATACCTAGGTATCCGATAAAAAATAAGATTTTTAATTTAATACATGAAAATACGTAATTAGATATATTTTAAAACATGATCATAAGGATTATGATACTATATAAGTACTTATATACGTTAATATTTATTAAAAAATATCTGTGTACTAGAATTGCATTACATATTATTATATAATTGTAATTACATCATTGCTCTATTTTTTAGACTCAATGTGACTTTCACTAGTGAAAAATATCCAACCATACATAATCTTGAACAACTTTAGTTCCTAGATATCCGAGTAGATACCTGTATAGTGCCTTATAATGTTTTCATAATTTAATTACAACTTGTCTCAATACATATTTTCATTATGTTTTCTGGATAGAATCTTAATATATTTATCATATTTTTAATACTATATAGTCTTAAAAATAATGCAACATTAAATGCTCAAGTATATAAAAATAATTTTGAATGATTTAGAATTTTTAGAATAATTTTAACTATTAATATTTTAAAATACAATTTTAATTTAGTATCTGACGACTGACATCATTAAATATACTAAATTATAGGCTATTATAATAAAAATATTATGCACAGTAAATTAGTACCTAAATAAAAATGACCTAATACCTAGTTTAGTTTGAACAAGAACAGAAAAAAAGAAAAATTGTTGTATTTTAACTATCTATAACTAAAATTGTCAATATCCACATTAGGTATAATTAAATATGTTAGTACCTATTTTATTATAATGTATTATTAGGTAGGTAGCTAAGTAGAACACATTCATAATATAGATATACTTCAATTAATCAAAGGCTAATAAAAAATTGAAAAAATGTATCTGTAGATAGGCACTAACTATAAAAATAATAGGCAGTAAATAAATAATAATAATATGACCTTAAGTACGTATTATTACATAAAATCTAAACAGATCAATTAGGTTGGCTACTCCTTGTTATTATGCTTAATGATTTAAAAATATAATATTTACCTACTAAAATTATGTACCTATCCAATTGTTAGGTATTGAGTAACTGAATAGTGCTGCAAAAATACCAACCAATTAAATTTATTTTACTATCGAAATCGAAAAATGAGTGGTATTATAATTTATAATAACTGTAAAAATATATAATTCCCATTAATGTGTGGAAAAAAACTGTCTTATATAATTGTTAACGATGAATAGTGGTTCTGATTATCAACCTTTCGAACATTTGTACCTTGTTCTGAGGTTATACAAAGCACTAGTTTATGGCGTGAGTCAAGTTTCTACTAAATTGGATAAGCATTATCGTTGGTTTTCCAGATTTGCGGTCAAGAAAATTGATCGTTTTAACCCTTAAGCTCAGTGGCGAGTGACGATTTTCCCCGAGTAACAAATAAACGATAGGACAATAATTTATAGTCCGACGACGCGACAAGAGTGTTTTTAGTGTACACGAGGATGGAAAGCGTAAGAAAAAAAAATCGCCGATCCGACACTGGAACGGACGGTCATTAAAATATTATTCGAACGGCGGGCCTTGATTTTCGTCGACGTTCAGGGTCGTCCGAGCAAAATGCACAAAAAATTTCATAAAAATATGCATCGAAATCGCGACGATCGACGACTAGGCGAGGTGGGGGGGACCTACGGCGGACGGGAAGACGAAAATATCGGCGGCGGTGTCGTATTTTCCGAGGCCATGCGGGAAAAACGCGGCGTGGCGCCACAACAACGGCGCGCGGTGGGCACATGGCGACCTACCCCTCCGCCGCGCCACCGCACAATAACGCGAAAACACGCAATAAGCGTGTCGTTGCCACACCGCGCGCAATCGGTGACGTCGACGCGAAAGCACGGCGACCGCGGTAAACGACGGCGAGAACGTTCGGTCTCTGCGGGGAAAAACCTCCTTTTTTCTCGACGTTTCTTACCCGTAGTCGACTTGTGGTGTTGGTTGGGCCTGCGCTTTCCACGGGGCATGGTGGTCGTATCCGCGTGTACACGGCCGCGGTTGAACAGCGAAACTTTTTAAGCGAAAGTCGGCGGCGGCGGCGCAGTCGTCCTGCGGTGGAGCGGTCTTCGTCGTGCGGCGGTTGACGTTTTGCTTTGGCGGAGATGCGTTCGTCGGCGGAAGTCGCGTTCGTGAATAGTCGTTGGCGTCGGCTGTGAGAAACCATGCACATCATGCCAGCTGTCGGATCGGGCAGCGAACGCTATACTGGATCGCGCGGAGCGGTGCGCTTGGCTTTATAATAATAATAATAATAGACTTCGGGAGTCGCACGCGCCACCGACGATGGATCGGGTCGGGTCGGGTGTCGCGCACGGAAAAAACCGCGGCGGCGGACCGTGGTCACGCAGAGCCCCGACAGGTGGCGGTAGTGTCACGGCGGTGAAGGACTCAAGGACGAACAATAATATGTCTGCCGTCTGGTCTTTGAGTGAACTTCAGCAGCGGTAATTCTTGGGGGGCCACGAAGGCTCCGTCGCATTCGCGATTGAAAGGAAATATAGGTAGCGCACTAGTCGATACTAAAGATAAGGCTAACGGGGAACATGGTCGCCCGGTGGCCGAGGCCCGTGCTGTTTAGTCTACTTACTACTTTCTAGTTTCTACTTAGTTTACTTTGTCTACTTTCTAGTTTCTACTGCAAGCAGTAGTTGACGCTCACGCTAAGTTTATTGTAATAGAAGTTGGAGATTATGGTCGGTCTAGTGATAATGAGATTTTCAAAGAATCCTTATTTGGTAGACAATTAATTCAAAATAAATTAGATTTGCCAGCGCCCAGCACCCAAAAAAAATTGATCAAAATATTAATGAAGATTTCCCTTTTGTATTTGTTGACGATGAGGCTTACCTACTTTTACCTACTTTGATGAGACATTTCCCTCGTAGAAATTTAACAAACGAATAACGTTTATGGTATATACAACTATCGACAATCCCGTGTGAGAAAAATAGTCGCATGTGCATTTGGAATTATGGTAAAAAGGTTTAACGTATTAGAAAATAAAATGCTAAACAGAACTGAAAAAACTGCAAAAATAACTCAGGCGATTTGTGTACTCCATAATTTAATTGTGACTAGAGTAGCTAACTTCCTTTGTACAACTCTTAATAAAAAAGTTTTAAAAATAAAAAAATATACAGTGTATAGAAAATGAAAATATAAACATTCAGTTAAATTTTTATGTATATACAGTTTTTGGTGTTTTTTTTTTTTTTAATTACAACAAAATAAATGTAATTAATTGTATTAATTTCCTACCTGTGGAACTGTGGTTAACACTGTGGAATAGAACAAGCCTTATGGGTATTATTAATTAGTATTTTTGGACTACTATTAAGGTGATAATTATGATCATACATCATACAACTAATAATATAATATTCATAAATATTACAATAAATTACAATAAATTATTTATTAATTCGTATTTCGTGTGTGGTACTGTAGACCAGTACTGTACTATACACATCTTCCCCGTTGTAATAGTTCTGATGACTTCCACAAGGTAGCGCCTGTTCCGCTTTCAATCGCGAATACTTGCTGTTTTGATTTTTTAATCATAAAGTTTATTGGGCTATGGAATTATTTTTCACCGTGAGCGTTACCAACCCGACGGCGCGTCGTAGTCGGTGGGGCCGCACTGTATCCGTGCACGACCTTTTGGTTCTGCGGTGATACGGTGACGAGTGATAACGGGTAATCATATGTCCGCTGATACGAATTACGAAAGTCGTCGGTCAGTGGAGACGAATCCAATAATTATTATAATATACGTTTCACATATTATTATTATTTCGTTGTCCGCCGCAGAGTTTTGTTTTTCGGCACGAGCCGACACAGTGGATTGAGATTGGTTCAGCCCACGGGGCAATCGAGTAAAATGGCTTTGACCAACGTCCAGAAGATTCTGTTCCGCGCCCCGCAGTCCGCTCGGCACATCACAGGCAGGGCTCTGCAAGCGTCCCTGGGACCTCGACCTCAGAAACCCGCACCGTTCCCGTACAAAGAGAAGGACTACACGTTGCTCAGGAGTATGTTCGACAAGACGACGTCGCGTTTCGACGAGAACAGCAAGCTGATCGTTCTCGAGGGACCTGTCGGAGTCGGTGAGTGATCGCATACTTGCTTCGTCTCGTTTGCATTTATGTAACACTAGACCGTTACGCTGATGGTTATTCTGTTGGTTTGGTTGATATGTATATTTTGTACGTCACGTAGTCTCTAATCACTTTTCTACTTAAATTGTTTTTTCAGGTAAAACAGCGGTTGGACATCAGCTTGCTGACTTATTAGGTATGCATTTTATGCCGGACATCACAATGGACGCTTACTACATAAACGACTATGGTTACGATATGCGAAAACTAGACCCTCAACTGCCGGTCAATTGTCGTAGTTTCGACGAGCGTAATTTTCTCGAAAACCCGGAACACTTTAATGCAGCTTCGTTTCAAATAATCAAATACAAGTTGCGTTATGCTCATTACATTGATGCCATTGCACACTTGTTAAACACTGGAGAAGGTGTAATTATTGAACGCAGTCCGTACAGTGACTTTGCGTTTGTAGAAGCAATGTATAAATGCAAGTATATGAGTAAAGCAGCACGTGAAATGTACTATATACTATACAAGCACGCTATGCCTGATTTGCTGCATCCTCATTTGGTTGTCTACTTGGATGCACCAGTACCAAGATTGTTAGAACTTGTAAAAGAAAGAAAACTACCTCATGAAGTAAATTCTAAGGCGATGAATACTAAGTATTTAGAAACTATGGACAGCGAATTGAAATATAAATTTTTAAGGGAAATCAGGTATATTATTAACTACTGATAATAATAATAGTAATAATATGTTATAAACCAAATAAATTTTTGTCTAAATCAATAATACATAAAATGTTTGTTTTTAGCAACCGATCTGAGGTATTAGTTTATGATTGGTCAGAAGGTGGTGATGCAGAAGTAATCGTAGAAGATTTAGAACGTTTAGATATTGACAATTATGATGAGAATGATCCGAAGATACAAGATTGGAGTTATTCGAGAGAACAATACTGGGCTGATGTACGAATGAAGTAAGTTGTTGTAATTATCTAATAGATATTAATTTAAAGATTATATAAGTACCCATAAGACAATAAATCATAAATTGTAAACAATATAACAAGGGGAAAGGAAACTTAAATAACTTTCAGAGATCCTTGAAACTAGGTAATTTATAAAGAAAATTCTGTAAGCACTTAAATCAATTTGTTATGATGAACAGTGAAAATCTATTATATGAAATGGAAAGAGAAATTGGTTGTAATCAATCATTTGTTACACACAAGTTTCTATATTTTATTGATTTATTTTATTGCTTGCATAAAAATTAAAAATTAAATAAATATAATTTGTGAAAGTTAAATAAAAAATACTATTTATGATTCATTATACTTTGATAGTTTTAGTAATCAAAATGTTATTAAAATTTATTTTATTATATCTTATTATTGTTTTTCCTTATAGTTGACAGAAATTAAATAATGGTGTTAAAAGGGATAGGAAAATAGGGCCTTCTAAAATGTTCATAATTAAGGCTTCAAAAGTTGAATTTTATAAAGAAAATATCTATACTCTATTCAAAATAAGACCGTGACCAGGCGGCGACCAGTTTTCGTCCGGCGGCGGTCAGACATATGGTGAAACGCCGTCCCCACCACGGCGGTGCGTCGGGCTTTGCCACGAAACAAAGCCACGCCCATGCGCACAACTCGGCCGCCCGGTCACAGTCTTATTTTGAATAGAGTATAGTCATATAGAAGCTATAAAAGAGCTAGTTTGCCTTAAATGTTTAAAGCAATTTAGTGATGTGTAGATTAATATGGTAATCCCTTGATATCCGCCAAGGTTAAGTTCCAGGAAAGTCAAAGTTGCGAGGATAACGACACCACTATAACTTTTATACTGCAATTGTATAAAAATAATGAAATTTATGAATTATTAAAAAAAAAGGGTATTTTTGACTCAATACCGTAGATAACGAGAGATTATTGTTTATTTTAAAATTAGGAGGTTAGGAATATTAATTTATTTCTATCCAGCTTTGTTTTGTGTGATTGTACTAAAGTTAATTATTTATTTATGTTTATAGATATACCAATGATAAAGAAGAATTAATTTCTAATTTTAACGTTCCTCTGGTTGATGCTCCAGAACTTCTTATACCCGGCGAAGAATGTGAAATTCTTACCCATGCTTGGTTCAAAGTAAGAATAATATTATGAATTTTTATTAATATGTGCCGTAGAAATATTTAGTATGTTATTAACAACATTGGTTAATCGCCATATGAAAAAAAAAAAAATTGGTTAATAGTTAACTTTTAACTTTTTGTTATTTTTGCATACTAAGAGGACAGCTTTTTTTATATTAGTATACAGATATTTGTTGTCTCCGTCTTACAAGTGCGTAATATACCAAATTTATGCTCGGATCACGTTTAGCTCTGTTATTTAAAAAAATTAGAGTGAATCGACATATTATGAAACTTGATGGTAAGAACATAATCTGTGTTTGTATGTGGGTTTTTTTAGAATAGTTAAATTTTTTGGGAGGTTATGCGTACATAATATAGCGTAAATTAAAAATTCTCATAACTCACTTTAAAACTGAATTATGGTATAAAAACCTACATTCAAAGTACCAACACAGATAATGTTTTTATCATCAAGTTTTAAAATTGGTCGATTCACTCTAATTTTTAAACTAACAGAGCTAAAATGATCTGCTGAGCGTTAACTTGCTATGTTACGCAGTTGTAAGACGGTGACAACAAATGGCCGTGTAGGTCCCCGCTAAATTTCCTATACTTATTTTTATTGTCTTGTACAACCTGTTGGTTAATGTAAATACACTAGGTCGTACGTCTGATGTCACATAAACCAATTTCTATTGTATATACAGAATATATATTACCCCAGGTACCAAGGACGAATTAGCAGAGTTAAGGGTTAGGGTAGAGTTAGAGTTAGAGTTAGGGAGAATCAATTAGACCATAACCCTCTAGTCCTTTAATATAATATTTTAATTCATTAAACAAATATAGTACAAGTGCCATTTCAATTATTTTATTTGTGTATAAATATTAAATGTTAAAATATTCTTTGGTGTATTTTAATATTTTAAATTAACAGAATATAAAACTACTCAAGTCTTAAATTTAAAATAATTTACTTACGTTTTTTACTTCTGGACATTGCTTTTATTGTAGAAAAGTTTTTGGTATATATGAATTTAGAAAAGTCTAAGTAATTGTAAACAATTTATAAATTAGGTTTTTATCAATAAAATATCACCATGTGTACAAATACCAAACAACTGTTATATTATATTAATTGACATAGTTTTTAATATAAAACAGGAAACCTCTATTTTCAAAAAACTTATTTTCCAGTACTATCTTAAAATTAAAAACAATTTTTTTTTTTTTAAGTCTTAGTTGTATTTTTTTATAAATATTTATAATTATAATTTCAATAATAGTACCTATAACATTAATTACCACTGATCATTGTTTTATTTAAAAATTAATTATTAGCAATTGGGTCTCTTATCAAATATCCTTCAATCTATTGATACCATTTTAATGAATACAATTTTTTAGGTTCCATACATTTATAACTTGTATAACTGACTTAACATTTTATTTACAGGCCGAAGGAAATACACATGCAGATGGCTATGATCCGAAATACCACAGCTTTACAGAAATATTATTCAAAAACAAGTCTAAGAAAGGGTGGAGTCCGATATCATAATGGGACAATACATTTATGATATTGTATAATTTAATTCGTAAATATTAGGTTAGCCAAGACAAAAATACTCGTTCTCCTGTTCTGTTTTAAAATATATTTTGCGTTATCTCGTCGAACATTTCAGTACATTATACAATATTAATAGTGTGAATGTGTGATTTATTATTATTATTATATCTATTACCTATAAGGATAACATTGAATTGAGTCCTTGTTACTTTTATGTGTTTAAATTGAGTCCACTTTATTATCGTAATATCTTTGAACTGATTCGGTTTAGATAAGATATCATAACTATCTATAAGTTTTAAATAATTATTAATTGCATTGACTATGATATAGCACAGTTTTCCTTCAACATTTTAAATGATTTTTCAGAACACACTTATCGGACCACTAACAGTTGTAAAAGTATTCACACAAATTTAAATGCAATTTTTCCCTCATGACGTACAAATATTTTTATTCTTGTTGAATCTCTTCTGGGAATACAGTCAAGTAGATATATTAAACTATGAAGCAAAGCAACAAAAACATTGAAAATGGAACAATTTTACAGCAGATAAACAAATTTGCAATTTGATATTTTTAAATGAGTCCCTATCGTTTAAATTTTTACCAGCAACTATTATTTATGTGTTAACAATTTAACATTATCATATTACACATGATTATTATTTCCTAATGATTATTTCTATTATTTTTTTAATTGTATACATTTTTTGTTCTTATTTTTACTACAGTAAAAAAAAAAAAAACAGAGAATAACCGCACACATTTTTTAGGAGACTTCCTACTCAGCCAACCTCCACATGGTGTCTCCTGAATAATGCTATTGGCTGAAGGGACTAGGGAGTTAAGTCGAACAACCTAGCAAATATTGGTTGGACTCAACTCAATATTTTCGCCTTACACAATGTAAATCTGAAACAATGACAATATTTTTGTACGTTTGAACTCGTGATTTGTGACTCTAATAAGAAACTTGTATTATAATATTATATTGTCATAGATATTAGATATATACAACGGTCAACATGATTCAAATTAGGTTGTATACAAGGTGGATTTAAAAATCCACATTGGTTCTATAATATATATCATATATCTATAATCTATTGACTATTAGGTACTGTATGGCTATGAAGACATTTGAAAATTGAATATTTTGAAATCATGATAACGCCGGAGAACTGAGAAGAGGATTGAGATAAGGTATGCATGAAAATGTCTGTGGTTTATATAATCACAACAAATCACTAATCAGCCGCTACAACATGCTGGTACGTTTTGGTATGCATTTCATAATACTCAATGGTCTTGGTAAGTTATATTATCATCATCCTTGGGCACGTTATGCGATACTGATCCCTCCGACGTTGGTCGTGTTATTCATTATTTGCGTTTTGAAAACATTCCGTTTTCCCATGTCGACAAATTGTTACGTAATTACGTAACGGAAAACATGCTAATCGAATCGCAATATAATATTATAATATCTTGTTCTTGTATCGCATACTCGCATCATTGGTGAATCGACTACTATCGTAATTGGTCGTATTAGTCAGTCGGCAGTCGGCACACACTACGCGCGTTTTAACTTTTATTGCGTCTTTCGTTTCGGTTTCCGTTTGAACAGAAAATGAATTCAGAACGGTTGGTGACCCACGTCTTGTTTTTCGTCATTTGCGCCACAGCATCGGTGGTCTGTCTGAAGAAAGATCAGTACTTTTGCGAGTTGTCTTCGTCGTGCACGTGTATGACGGCCAACGATGACAACAATATCGACTTGGGTGGATTGAATTTGACGCTGACGATCGCGGACAACCAGACGTTGAACTATCAACCTTGTGTCAGTGAAATCGTTGTAAGTATTCGGTTGCGCGTTTTATGATTTATCTAAATGTGGACGGTTTTCGTTTTCCATAAAATAGTAATGGCATTTATAAAACACTGGTCGATGACCATTTAAGATCTTGAACGTTTTGTCGAGGAGATGATCGAACATTTCTAGATATTGTTCCCTCATAGAGTGACATATACTCACCGGGTATGGATACTACCGGGGATACTACGCGTTTTTTCTCTGCTCGACAGTGAAAAATATTGGATAGTATACACTTTGTGAACAGTTTGGAGGCAATGGTTTAGTATTTATTACGTTATCTATTATGTTCATCGTCCCGGTATCAAATAATTTCAGAGCAACGCGATTTTCAGTAAACTATAACTGGAATTTTTCCATACTTATTATAGAATAACCACCACCCGCATTCCATTTATTTGAGAAATGTGGCCACAGTTTTTATATTGTGGCCATGATATATTATATTATATTAAAAAACATAATCTGAAAGCTGTGGCTGTAAAATATTTCGTTAATTCAATTTAAATTTATAATGTGAGCTAGGTATGTCATAATAGTGATTTACCAACATCTCCCCTGTTGGTTATTTCTTACAGGTATTTTTTAAACATGATAGCTGCTGCATATTTTAATTTATCAAAAACGTGTTATCTACTAAAATGTTTTAAATCCTGTTGTTAATTTGAATTACTCTGAAATAAATGTTACCTATATAATATTATTATATGTATAATATGCTTAATATAAAAAATAAAATGTATGTACAATATATTTAATTTTAGTAATTGTTTAGAATACCTATTTAAGATGACTCAAATTAGTATTTTATTTCTCAAATGAAAACCTAAGGTATTTTGTCCTGTATGACAATTTTGATATTTGCCTAACATTATTATACTTTCTATAAATTAATGAATTTAAGTTGACTATTAGTTACATAAAAATTAAAAACTTACATTCAAAAGATATTAAATTCTATTATTTAAAATTAATTTATATTACCTATTGTAAGTATAAAAATAAAAATATTTATGTTTAGATTGTAAATGGGACATCCAATTCTTCAATACAGGTTGCCAATTTTACGCATGCTTATGTTAAAATAAGCGACGTGGTAACATTTATCTACACAAATGACTACGACCTGCAGTAAGACTATTCTAATATAAACCTATTATACCTATTTATTAATTCATTTGTTTTATAGTGAGTTTGATGTAATTTTGGTGTGTGATTCATTAGCAGTCAGTGGAAACGAATCTTTGGCAAATTACAAAAATGTCACTGCTAACCAATGTGTAAGGCGAACCTTTATTATTTGCTTGTATAATCATAAAATTAAATTGTTGGATTATATTTATAGACTGTTGAACTTATTACCAGTAAAGTATGTGGATTGAATTTAAACAATGCATATGATAACAACTCAGAATCAGAATCTTGGACATACTTTTTTTCATTCGTCTTGGTTGTTGCATTTGTTTACTTTGTTGGCGGATCTGTAGTAAATGCCTGTTTATTTAATGAAATTGGTATTAATATGATTCCTCATCATGCATTTTGGTCATCACTTTACGATAAAATCAAGGTTCGTCATTGCGCTACAATTAATTTTAAATAGTTTTTTATCAATCAAAATATATTTTTCTAGGATAAACTATGTGGAACATCTACAATGGCAACAGCTTATGAAAGCATTTAAAATATTTATTATTTATATTAACAAAAATAAGATGCTCACGCATACTCTATTGTTAACTGCTAGGCATGATATTGCTGAATGCAAAATATAATATATATTTTGTATTTTATTATTTTTTATTTCCAAAGGAAACACTATATTAAAACACTTAATTGTTTTGTGTATTATTGTTTTATTTGATAAACATATTATTTTTATTTTTGTCAAAACATACCTATTTAAAATTTACGTTATTGCAAGTAATTTTCTCAATTAATAATTAATAAAAATTCAATTGTAACCAGGGTTTTCTTATAATGTATTAATGTGATCTAAAAATATTTAAATAGTCATTAATTTTATACAAAAATATGTAAAAGTCAATATTGTAAAAATGTATTGTTGGAAATGATTTAGATTAATTATTCAAAAATACTTTCTTAATAAATTTCTCTTAAACATCATTAGATTTTCAAACATATACTGCCAAAGAATAAATACAAAGTATATTTACTTTTATAACTTAGTATAATTATTTATTTTATCTCTTTCAAAAAATACCAGATAAATATTATTTAGTATTAGATAATTTTGTTTTAAATATGGATATTTTAGTTAATTACCAGCTTAATATTTAAAAAAATTTATTTTTAGCATCTGCCATTTGAAAAATGTAATTTGTTAATGAACAATTATTTTTATAAATCTAGCTTATTAAATTAATTATTTATTTAGTTTTCATAATACACTATAGAAAATATTAGCTAGTCCATTATGTTATGTACGTTAGGTAATTTTTTTAGTATGTTAAAATTTCAATACATATACATAATATACTGATATTTATTATTTTACTATAGGTATATAATAAAAAATACCCGTTTTGTTTAGTCTATTTTTTGAGTTACCAGTTTCTAAAAGTACTTAAATATTGTTTGATGTTATGAATCATGATTTGTTTTGTTTTAGATGGCTTATAATTAAGGTATTTTATTATTGTGTGTATAACTAATCAAAAATTGTATCATTGTTATGTAATTTTTTTTTTATTACTTATGTAACAACACCCCTTAAATATTTACATTATGAGTACATTTACTCTATTCCATATAAGAGCAATTACCGATCTGAAAATGGGTGTGATGTCTGACTGAGCTGGGAGAAAATTGGTTGACGCCAACGACTGTTCTTATGTGGTTATAGTATTTTAAGTTTAATTTTTTTTAAATGTATACTCCAAAAAAATAAAATGTTAAAAAAGTTATTTTTGAATGAATGTTAAAAAGTAATTTGTATTTTATTAACTGAATATATTTTTTTTAATCAGACACATAAATTATTGAGAATGTCTTTTAAACTGAAATAATAGAACTAGAATTTGTACACTGTTCTATAATTCACCTAAGGTTCTAATTTCCAATCAGAGGAGTCATAACAGAAATAATAAAAATTAATGAAACTGCTTGTATCGCATAATATAGTGGTTGGTCACATGGACACAGAAGGAAATCTGGAAATGGTAAACTGGTAAAGGAACTGATTTTGATAGTATATATATATTTTTTTTTTTATAAAAGATTTTCCATCTGTATACACAATAATAATACAATGAGAAAATTGGTAGACATTCATAAGCGGAAACGATAAGTATCGACAATTATCACGATTTTCATTCTGAAAAAAGGTGCTCTGCTGTATGGTAGGTTACAAGTGGGTCACTGTATAATGGATAGTATTAAATTTGAATTCAATGATATAATATCATTGTATAAAAAAAACGATTCTGAGCGGAGACGGTATGTCAGTCTAGGTATAAGACATAATAGTGTACTTTAGAAGTTTCAAGTACCCACGAATAATATTACACAATCACAAAAAAATAACTGAAATAGTTATTCTAGGTTTTTTTTTTTTTTTTAATAAAAAATTATTCAATTTTAACTTTGATAAATTTTGTCAAAATTCAATATTAAAATGCTTATAAAAAAAATTGTGCCTATGTATTTTTAATATTTTTCAACTGATATTGTAACAATATATCAGGAGCTTTGTATTAAATTTTTACACTTTTTGGACCAACAGATAAAACTTTATTGATATTTATAGAATAAAAAACTAAAAAAATTGGAAACTGAAAATGTCCGTAAACAGCTCAAAAAGAGTCAAAATATTTTCAAAATTGTATGGTGTATAGGAAATGCTAATATAAATATTCAGTGAAATTTTCATGAATTTACAGTTATTCGTTTTTGAATTACAACAAAATAAAGAAATCGCTACATGAGAAATCGAGTGAATATCCAATGTTGTAAAAATTTAAATTTCAAACGCTCATAAAAATTTAATTTAAATTTCTTATAGACATTTTTTTTTTGATAAAGGTAGATAATCTTATAAGTAATCTTGTATTTCATTTTAAAACCTTAGATTTAAAAAGAAAAATTTTTACGAATTCTCAACTCAAAATAATTTGTTAATTTTCGTGATTTTTCCATATTTTGTCAATTTTTGAACTTTAAAATTTAAATGCTTATAAAAAAAAACTGTGACTAAGGATTTTTAATATTTTTAAAATGCCATTGTAACAATATAGTAGAAGCCTTGTATTACATTTTCAAGCTTTTTTAACCAACAAATACAATTTTATTGATATTTTTAGAAAAAAAATGGGACATGAAAATGTGCCTAAACAGTTTAAAATAAATCAAAACATTTTGAAAATGTTATCGTGTATAGAAAATGCTAATATGAACATTCAATCAAAATTTCATGTATCTACGGTCATTTTTTTAAGAGTTGTACCAAAAACCAAAATCGATTTTTTCGAAAACAGATTTTAGTGTAAAAAATCCCGTTTTTCCTTAATTTTTATTTTGTTTTTCACGCCGCTTTTGAAAACTACTGTGAAATTTTCACTTTTGACCCCCCAAAGTACCAACTAGATTCACTTTCCTGTCAGAAAAGCTACCGTTGAAAAAAATCCAAGCACTTTTACTGTCCTAAAACGCGATGACAGACACATAAAAAAATTGAAATAAACTGAGCAAAGTTAAGCAATTTTAACTTTCAATTAAACTAGACAAGTTAATAAGAAAATTAACTTTTTAACTCAACTTTAACATTTATACTTGTTATGCCCACCCATTGAAATTGACCCGCATAGACGCCACACACACACACACACTAATCATTTACGACTAACACAAAGATCTCGGATGACGGCGACGAGATTAGAAATTGCCTAAATGATTCTTCTTAAAACAATGCTACAGCCCTTCACATGGTCTATCCATTCTTCTATTATCTATGATGTAAGTAGTCAAGAACTCAAGACCTAGCCACCTCGGGAGTGAAGTCGGGAGAATCCTGAATCCTGAATCATAGACCATAGTGGTATTATAAATATAGGTACTACACTATCAGTGGTTGTGACTTGTGGCCTTTTTAAATTTTATAATATGAACTATTCCATTTTATTTATATGTTATGACTGATGCCCCGTGAAGACGTTTAATTTGAGGTGCCACGTGCTAATTTTTTTTGGTAAATAAAAATTTACCTGTAAAAAAATAATCGGTAAATTTAAAGAGCTTACATCTCTATGTACCACTATAACACCCACCGACACGGCGATACCGTTCCATAGCGGACTTCCGCCCAGCCATTTGGCCATCGAAATAACCCAATCCAAATATTATATTATTTTCATAATATTCTGAATTTATGTTTTTTTATTTTTAAAAATAATCTTAATAACACTATAAGTACTTACACTTAGCACGTGCACCGGACAACCGCCTGGTCATTTGGCCATCGAAATAACCCAATCCAAATATTATATTATTTTCATAATATTCTGAATTTATGTTTTTTTATTTTTAAAAATCATCTTAATAACACTATAAGTACTTACACTTAGCACGTACACTTGTGCATATTGTATACACGAGCCGCCACTGCTTACAATTAGTGTATAACATAGGAAATATACGCTCAGCGGATCACGTTTAGCTCAGTTGGTTTAAAAATTTGAGTGAATCGACCTATTATGAAACTTGATGGTAAGAACATTATAAGTGGGTTTTCTTTTACGATGGTTCAGTTTTTGAGTTCAGAGAATTTTTAATTTACGCTGCATTATATACGCATAACTTACAAAAATCGAACTATCGTGAAAAACTCTCACACAAACACAGAATAATATACAAACCATCAAGTTATATAACAGGTCGATTCACTCTAATTTTTAAGCTAACCGATGACCAACTTACCTATAACCATGACCTAAAATGTACATCTATTTCGGGCATAATTGCAGTTTAGCTCCCCCACGCCATTTTAAAATTTTTTTTTATCGAAACTTATGTAACTCATTGAGTTAAGAACGATGGTGCAATCAGAATTTGTCGCTCTCACTTAGTTTCGAAGTTATGGCCTTCCAAAGTTTTCGACTTTACGTTTATACGCATTCTAGAACTACTAGAATGCCGCGCATGGCTAGCTGGCAGTTACCCTGTGACCAACTTGAGGTGGTGTAGCACAGCAAGTGGGGGGATATTTTCGATTAAGGAGCGGTATTATAAAATCTAATACAACCAGTCGTTCATACTCATACATATTATAACACAAGAACTGGAAAGGCCCGAAAGATAATATATATCCAAAAATAAACACAACTAAATACTACCAAAAGTATTTGATAACTGAATTTGAAGTTTGAACTATATGAAAATATCCCCCCGAACTCCGCCTGTTGTATTACATTTCGTGGTCAACCCCACACACCCTCCAACCTTGTCGGGACCAGTCCTGTACCTATTCTTAGTCCGTGCCCATTACTATGAACAATTTTCCAAACTTTGATATCTTCAAATTATTAATAAAGATATGGTCAGGGCCGGATTTTGGGTTCTGGGGGCCCAGATATTTCATAAGTTTGAAATATAACAATTTTTAGTTGATCTACATGCAGACTTGGGTAGTATTCCGAATACTTTTTAAGTATTCCGAATAATTTTTAA